CCCATTTACAACCCACAATAGTAATGTTTGGCTTTGGTGGAACTAGGGTCCACGCTCTATTCTGTAGTAGTGCATCGAACTTGGCATTCATTGCATTTCTCCAGTGATTTGATTTGGAAGCTTTCGTGTAATATGTGGGCTCGACATACGAGTCTATTGAAGCTAAAAGTAAAGCTTGAGGAAGAGGATAATTGAGCCACCAATAGGTAAGCGAGGTTTAAAAATGTGATTTTTGGATTTGGTGACTATAGTATACGTATTGAAAATCGCAAGTGTCCGTGGAATGAATGCATGCATCCAAATTGGATTGTGATGCAGCTTGCAAGATAGTACCTGTAGGACAACAAGAGGCAATTGAGGAGAGGATATTTAAGTTAGTTGGGAGACTAACAGACAATTGAGGAGAGGACGTTTCCGAGTTTCATTGTCTTGAGATTTTTAAAATGGAAATAAAGACTCATTAAAGACAACATGAAGGGACACAAATACTTTCCATTTAGAAGACCAAGACACTTGTATCCATGATGATTTAAGCTGTAGCCAATGAAAATTCACGTTTTAGACCTAAAATCAATTTTGAGTTTGTTAAAAGGACGAAGACAAGGCTAGCATACACAACCAAAAGTTTGCATGAAAGTATAGTCTAGCTTTCTCTTGTATACTACCTCATAGGGTGATTATGTATGATCAGATTTGAGTTTTATTGGAAAAAGCCATAGAAACTCCATGCAATTATCTTAAAAAGATACATAATAGCAAGCTCCTGTAGTTGAAACTACCGAAGCAAGCTAGCCCCCACCCCCATATATCATAATAAACCAAATCTAATGGATTTGCAGAATTAAAATGAAAAGTCTTAAACGACAAACACCAACTTTTTGCCTTTTGCCAATCTGGACACACAAAATATTTTTTGTTACTTTCAACTGGGATTGAAGGACTTGAAATGGCTTGTCGGACAACCGGATAGGATACATAACCAAGGCGCTTGTGCCAATCATTTATGAAGACACAACTTGCAAAAAAAAAATTGATGGTTTGCATAAGTTGCGAAGAGCGAAAAAAGAGTAGAGACCATCCTTAAATTTACCCTGGTGTAGGATGTTCTCCAAGTAATCCTTGACAAGAAAATAAGAATCGGGAAATTCAAAATAAACAGAATTGTCATGATAGAATTGTTGAACAAATAAAAGATTTTTCTTAATGTCAGAAACCCAAAGAACTTGATTTAGCACAAATGATTTAGAGGAAGTAGACAAAAGAGTGGAACCAATTTTTGAAATTTCAAACATGCACCATTGCCCTCTTGTATTTGATCTGTGTCATCATAGTCATCATTGCATAGGTTCAAATTGTTCAAAGTAGTTCTTTACAGATTGTCCTGGTTTTTCACAAGCTTGACAAAAAACAGTTTCTCGGCCAAATTGGCCTCTTTCAAAATTGTACTGGTTGTTGGAGTTGTAATTGTTTTTGCCTCCATGGTTACCACGCCCCTGGCCTCTACCATAATTTTGTTGTTGCTGGCGTGTAACAACATTGACTCTTGCATTGGAGATTGCTAATGGTTGATTATGAGAATTGATCCATGACTTGCTGGCGAGCAGAAGATAATATAGTTCTTCAAGAGTCACATGATCTTAGTGAGCTGTGATGGTAGCAACTAAAGAGTTGTATTCATGGCCTAATCCTACAAGAATATAAGTAGCAATATCATCATACATAGGGATGTCAGTGGACCGAAGCGGGGCGGAGAGTGTAGTCTTCATCTCCGTACCTGCTTAAAAAAACTTCGTCCATTCCGGTCCACCCCCATTAACGGATATAGTTTTTAGTTTCATTTCTGTCCGCGGGTAAATTTTTAATTTTCGTCTCTGTCCCCGCTTTCCCCATATCCACCTAAGCCCAAGCCCAAACTCAAGTAACATAATTTAAAATTCTAAATAAATTTAATATTTTAAATAATCCAACTACATTCTAACATAGTCTAACACAACATAATATAAATTGTAAAATGTAAAAGCCAAAACAATATAGTATTCTATTTAAAGTGTCATTGGACCACAAAAAGAGAAACAGAACTATTAGAGAGAAAGGAAGAAAAGAAAAATAAAATTGAAATAAGAAAAAGATAGCACTACACTTGAAGTTTCCTAGAAGAATTTTTGTTATTAAAATTCATATTACAGCCATAAAGTGTTAAAAGATGAAAACTTAAAATTTCGCTAATTCAATAATTCTCCCAATTTCTTACTTCACTCTAACAGAGAAACTCAGCAACCTCCAGTCACAATATTTCTACCCACGATGAAATCCAAAATTATCTTACTCTCTCTTATCTGTTTTTAGAGCATAATCAATTTAAACTCCTAACAGTTTCAATCAGTGGGCACAAATACAAAAAAGAACAATCAGGAAAAAAAGTTGATAAGATTATCACATAGTAATGCCACTTTTTAGTTTGATTACAATATTTCTAAATTAGTAGTTACAGTAAATATGTTTAGTTAGGGCTTAGGAGTATATATATATATATAACGGTAGTGGGGGGGGGGGGGGGCGAGAGGGTAAGGATAAGTTCATCTCTGCCTTCATCTTCGTATGGATTTATACAGGTATTCTCGTATACATCCACTGTCCAATATGTATAGTTCATCCCCGATCCAAACGGGACGGGTTTGGACGCATGCCCATTTTTCTCTGGTCCACTGCCATCTCTAATCACACATGAGGGATTAACCTGCAATAGTTAGTTCATCCGCCAACCTTTTGATATGAATGAAGTAATTTGTTGTAGAGAGAGATCCCTTGCACACAGGAAGTAAACTCACTCTCTACTCTATTTTCTTGGAATAGAAAAGGATTATATTTGTTTTTTCATTCAAGACATTTAGGATAAACGTGTCTCATTTAAAATAATGGAGAAAAAATAAAAGGAAAGTCAAACTTATTGTCAAAAAGGATGAAACATAAAATCATAAAATAATAAGAATAGAAAGTCATATTGGAATAGTGTGTAAAAATTTACTGTATATTATAACTTTTTACGAAAGATGTTATCTATTTAAGAAAAGATAAGTTGAAAATGCTCTAAGACCATTTCTAATAAAAATCAAAATTTTTACCTAAATTTGAGTAAAAAAATTGGGAAAAAAATTGATTTAGTATAGACCTTTCTAATAGAGAAACACAATTTAAAGAAAGAGAAATCAAAATTTAAACAGACACACATCCAAATTTAAAAAAAATGATAAAAAATGACTATTAGATATTTAAAAGATGGTGAAATATCACTATTAAATATTTAACTATGGATTTGAGTCTCTTTTAATTTGAGTGAAAAAAATAGTCTCATTTAATTTGATATAGGTATGGATCAAAAGGTTTTTAAGAGTTTTTTTTAAAATTTAAATTTAAATTTTAAAAAAAGGTAAGGATTGAAAATATTCTAGGCAATGAAAATATCAAAAAAAATCATGCACGGTGAGTAAGGATGGCAGTGGATCGAAAAAAAATGGATATTCGTCAAAACCCGGCGCTATTTGGGCTGGGGATGGACCATATGTATTGAAAGGTAGATATATACAGGAATACCCATATAAACCCATACAAAAATGTAGATGAAGATGGACTGACACTTACCCCTCCTCGCCCCCACTAACCCGTGATATATATAAGGTCATAAACCCCAATCTCATTCCCACCCACCTATAAAGTTAATTTTAAAATTCAGTTGCTCATTTTTTTTTCTTTGTCCAATAAGGTAAGATTTATTATTTTTGTGTTCTTTTTGATGACTTTTGTTAAATATGTGATCCTTTTTTGTTAGTTTTGTGATGAGTTTTATTAGATCTAAGGGTTTGTGTTGTGTTAGCTATTGAGAGTTTTTGTTTCGAATCTATGGTGTGTTAGATACGGTATTTTTAGATATTGTTTATTCTGATTTTTTTTGGTTAGATCTTGATGGTGTAAATCTACATGGTGCAATTTTGTGAAATTAAACAGATGAAAAGAGCAATGTGCGACTACCAAGAATTGAGCTGCAATGCTCAAAAGAACTCAAGGGAAATTGGAGGGAAAGTTTGAGGAGTGACACAATGAAAATATAGTGGTTCATTAGTCCGGAAGCTCGGTTAATCCATTATTCAATGAAGACTCTTGCTTTTTTTTTTTCTATATTGATCATCCAAAAAGTTTACAAGACAGATTGAATCTTTTTTCTTTCGCCCCTTTCCTAAGGGATTTCCACTGAGATTCCTGCTATTTATCCGAGGAACTCTCCTTGATCTTAGGAGAGAATCTTGGATGACTAAGGATTTTGAGCCTCGAATATGGCTTTTTGCCACCTATAAGATTTCTGTTGTCATTCAGCTGTTCCCTTGTCATTTCCACTGTTGACACATCTGGAGGGAGCTCTAATTTTGATCTTCTGAGCTCTGCGTGTTTTTCCTGACCTCTTGGTCTGACCTACTTGTCTGATCTTCGCGCTTGGGTTTATACTTGGAACTTATTCTGAGTATCATAAGATCTATAATTTTCATGTGTTACATCTGATTTTCTGTGTTAGATATGTAATATTTTGAATTTTCTAATTTTATGCTACTTAAATATGATCTTTGTTGAATTTTGATTATAGTGTTAAATATAATTTTTGTTGATTTTTGAGTTTTTTCTATTTAAATATTTTTTTTGCTCTTTAAAAATTATTGGATAGATATTTTGCTTGAAAAATACTGAATAGACTTCTTGCATATTAAGTATATTAAATGCTAGTCCTTATTGAAGAGAAGAATTATGTAATAATTTTCAGCTAGTAATATGTAATTTTTTAAATTATTTACGATGTTAGATTATGTTAGACTTGGACTTGTGCAGGGTAAGGGCGAGGGCGAGATAGGGTAAAGGTGAGGATGAGATTGGGATTATAAATTAATTTGCGAATTAAAATGAGGATAAAAAATTATCCTCGTTATCGGAATGGACCGAGAATAAACAATTTTTTTTTAAACAGGGCAGAGATTATGCCCCGCCCCGCCCCGCCTCGATCCACTAACATCCCGCCGGTGAGCGTGACAGCCTGTGTTTTTGTGAATTCATTTGTCTTCACTAATGGTTCCGTGCTCACTCGTTCTCGATCTGTCACAGAAACTTTGAATGTCCAACTAAAACCCTAGAAATTGTCGATCACTGTCTTTCCATCACTGCCAATGGAACCCGACGTCATCATGCTTCCCGCCGGAGAAGGATCAAGCGTCGCCGGGCCATCTTCTTCTTCCTCTACCAAGAAACCTAAGCGTTTCGAAATTAAGAAGTGGAATGCCGTCGCTCTTTGGGCTTGGGGTCCGCATTTCCACTAATTCTCATCGCAATTTGCACACATACGCGCATAGTGTTGTGGTTTTATGAATATGATCATAGTGTTCTTGTGGTTATCCTATGAAATTTTACGTGTTTGTGGGTCCATTTGATGTAGATATCGTTGTGGACAACTGTGCCATTTGCAGGAATCATATCATGGATCTCTGTGAGTGTTTTTAGTTCTTTGTTATTAATGAGATTGTATATGTTTTCTACTCTCTCTCTCTCTTTTTTTCCCCCTTATTTTCTTGTTTGATGGATTTAATGTGTTAATTGGTTTGATTAGGCATTGAGTGCCAAGCTAATCAAGCTAGTGCGACCAGCGAGGAGTGCACCGTGGCTTGGGGTATGCATTATCTCCTAAACCCTACCCCTAGCCCACTTCACCAAAACTGTATTACTATTGCTGGTGTCGAACTTAAATTATGTTGCTACGCATGTTTTCCTTCTTGACTGGTTGCAAAACATAACAATCTCTCGTTTCTTACAATGCTTCTGTGGAAGCTTGTGTAATTCATAAACAATATTGCTATTCAAATTCGGATGCGGTTTTGTGTTATAATGTTTCCTCTGTACTCTTTGCATGAAAAGATTGGTAATTTTTCTTTTGAGGTGTTCTCTTCATCTAAAGCTTTTCGATGCACTTTCATAGAAATCATCAATTCCAAATGATACAAGGAGTGGGTGGCATTTTAAAAGGTGATGCAGTTCAAGTATTTTTGTCATGTGATTGAGTAGAAAAACTGGTAAGGATAAATTGTATTTAAATACAAAATCAATGTTTGGCCTTTTGTATGTATTGGTTGGTAGGGCATGGTAGTAAGATAAATCAAGATTGCCAATGTTATAATTGAGGATGTAGTCCTTGATAGTCATAGAAGATTTGTCCGGGTAAATAAAACGATATCAAATATAAGTGCCTTTCTTTAGTGAAATTCTGCTTGGCTTGGCTCCTAAATTTTTAGTCAGACTAACTAGTTCATGAGTCTTATTGTCTAATTTAGTTTGGATATTGAAAACCTCTGGTATAGTGGTGGCTGGTGGTTGTTTTACTTTTAATAATGAGTCATACCAACATGAAAGCATCATATGATGGGTTTTTTGTGTCTGCTATCTCCCCTTCACAAGATTTATTCTCATATTGAAAATCTACGATAGACTGGTGCCTGGTGATTTTTTAACCATGTGAAAAATCAGTCACACTGACATGAAAACACCATATGTTGGTTTTTTGTTGTGGCTGCTATTGCCTCTTCACAGGCTTTAGCTACAATGTGCGATCTTACAGCTCTTTTTTCAACTTAATGATAGGGTCCATCTAATAATTTTTTTTTCCAGTAGCAATGTTAATATCAATTTCACAATAACATCCAACTGATATCTATCATGAATTATAGTATATTCATGGAAATCAAGACATAAATTGCACATCAAGGAGATTAGAGAAGAAAAAAAAAAGCACATTTGAAATTGATTCCAAGATACTGATTCACATTAGAAAAGGCAAAAAGATCGACGACCCTAAAAGTTTGAGGTTGGATCTAAAACTTATTGACTAGATCTAGCACGAAAGTACCTGATTTGAGTGGCAGGAGATGTGAACATAGGAGAGAAATCATAGAAAGAGAAGAAGTGAGCGGTGACGTGAGCATCGAGAGGTCGATCGGGAAGAGGAGCGATGTGAGCAGCGAGGTAATGGCTCCATCTAATATTTAGAGGGTGTTTCAGTCTGAATTTTCAACATCTGTAATCACACTTTTCTTTTATTTTCTTTCTTTTTTCTTTAAAGGTGAGAGCGTATGCATAGGCCATCACCTATTGTTTTCTTCATTGTGTACTTGAGAATTAGCTTGGTGGTTATTTTTCTTTGTATTTTGGAACAAGCAACTCTAGGGATGTATATATATGTCCATCTGTAATCACCCTTTTCTTTCTTTTTCTTTAAAGGTGAGAGCGTACGCATTAGGTCTTCACCCATTGCTTTCTTCATTGTGTACTTGAGAATTTGCTTGGTGGTTATTTTTCTTTGTATTTTGGAACAAGCAACTCTAGGGATGTATATATATGTCCATTTTAACACAGAACCACCATGTGCTAGCTTTCTTTTATAAAAGGTTTTTTAGGCTCGATCTTTTTTTTTTTATTGCCTCCAAAATCTTATGACGTGATTAGGAAATGATTACTATTTCAATCAAATGCTTGGTAGGCCATCAAATTGGATTGGTTTGTGAAATTTAGGTTTATAACAACCATGCAAAAATTATTTCGGGTTCAAAACATGGGATCAGATGTGGTGTATTTCTAGTGGGTAATCCGTGGCTTGCATTTTAGTGTAAAAAAACTTAGTTTATGGGTAGGCTCTGATGCCAATCTTGGTAAGGACAAATAAATGTTTTTCTAAAGTTGTTTGCTCATTGGAAGTAAAAGATGGTTTAGTCATTAGGGAAGAGGATTTCCAAGTAACAAATAGAGGGTATGGATAGAGGGCCCTCTAAAAGGCTTGCAATTACCACATATTCTTATTTTCTTAGTAGGTGGACATTGACACATAATTGGTTGACACGACCAATACTATATTTATAAGAGTTGGAAGCAGTGAAGTCAAAGTCATACACAAATATATTTAATGTGTAAAAGTGTACCATAAGGCAAATATGTGAGAATTTAACCTTTACTTTTTGCCAATTAACGCTTCCCATAATGTGGGAGATTAAGGTCAATAAGAATCATTTGTGACGATAGGAATTTAAGCATGAGCTCGACAGTTTGGTGAAGCTCTAGCTTGCTAGATTCTTGTTCCTCCATAACTTGATTGATTTAGGTCATCTAAGACTTTCACGTGAACAAGGAGTCTACCTCCACTCTACCCCTAGATCTCCAATATTCATTGTAATCCCCAAGTAAGGGATAAACATCCCCAATGGCTCATCACTGTGTATAAAGAGGGAGGAAAAAAAATTAATGAGGTAAGCAATCCTACTCCAATTTGATATTCAGTTCCCTCATTCCCTTTTTTGACTTAAGTATCAGAGGGTCAACCCTTAGAGTTTCTTTGGTCTTTGACTTACTATTGTAGGAGCTCCCTTTTGTTGGTCTGGGTGCAATTCCAGTCAACAACTCCCTAGAAGTTTGGTGGCCAATTTTTGGCTTCATTAGTTGGCGTCGTCTGTAGGAAACGTTAGTTTTTCAAAACGCAAAGTTTTCTAGATCCTTAAGATCTCCAAAACTAATGGCCATTATTGAGTCAAAGGATTTAGCTAGAGATCAGACCCACCATCCCAATGAACGACCAAGATCACACCCTATCGGTCGGTGGACTCCAGCCCCACTGAAAAGAGAAACCACAAGGGTGAGGAAAATAGAAAAAGTAGTGGAAGAGTTGGTTCAACAAAACTAACAAATCTTGCAATTGCTTGCTGTACAACAACTCCGAAAAGAACTTATCCAAGGTTCTGGAGCACCGTGATGAGAATCAGGGGAATGAGAGCCAAAACGAGGTGGCTCGCCTGTAAGTCAATGAGCCATGTATTGGAACAAAAGTGCAAGAGGTCATGACAAGCTGGGCAACATCATCAATACTGCTAGGGCTCTAGTTCTAGAGGCTGTGGAGACGTTGGTGCAACACACGAAGTCACTCTTCTCCGCTGATGTCTCCAACTATCCTCTCCTATTGAAATTCAAAATGCCTTTGATCATTTAGAGATCTATAAGTCTCTTATGATGCTTCCCGACATCCTTGACTAAATTATGTGTCGAGCCTTTGCAATAACTGTTAAGGGGATTGCTAGGCATTGGTTCAACAAATTGAAGCCCAGTTCAATTAGTTTTGATGATGCCAAAACTTGACCATCAGACTCTTAGGGAGTTACTGACTGACCAAGCAGAGTTATAGCAATAGCAAGTTAAAGACCGAAGGGACTCTAGGAGTTGACTTTCCGATACTTAAGTCAAAAAAGAGAATGAGCAAACTGAGTATTAGATTAGAGTAAGATTGCTTACTTGATTGATCTCCTTTCCTCCCTCTTTACAGACAGTGATGAGTCGTTAGCGATGTTTATCCCTTGCTTAGGGATTAGGGTGAATCTTGATGATCCAGTGGTGGAATGGAGGTAGACTCCTTGTTTAGGTGAAAGTCTTATCTGCGCTGAATTAGTCAAGTCGTGAAGGAACAGTACCATACCTAGTTGCCGAGCTAAAGCTTCACTAAGTTGCTGAGCTCGTGCTCAAATTGCTATCGTTAGTTGCCCCCTAGTTTAGCTCAAGGTGGCTTGAACATATTTTGCATTTAATGCAATTGTTCGTCAAGGCTTGGGGAAGTGGGAAGGTGAAGCATGTAGATGTAACCGCTAAAGATTCGTTATGGGGGCCGGTATTTAATTGCTACTTGTTCACTACCTTTCAACATGTTTCAAGAAACTCAAAAACTTTGGTACGCCTCTCTTATTTTCTTTTCTCTTTCTCTTGCACTAAATTTCAAGAAACTCAAACTCAAAAACTCAGCTAAAGCTTCACTAAGTTGGTACGCCTTTGGAACTTTGGGTAAGTACCTCACTCTTATTTTTTTTGTTTCTTTCTGTTAAGTTTGGAAGATTAACATAATATTAGAGATACTATTTAGGGAGAAACAGAGAGAGGTTAAAAAACTTAACCTAGCTCTGATACATAACTTGTATTTATAGTTAACCTACAATAATAATAATAACACATACATCCTCTTACTATTAATAATTTACACATACTACCCTATTATTCTTAACATTCCCCCTCAAGCTGGACTATATATATCATATAATTCAAGCTTGGAACAAATAGCTGTAAGACGTGTACGACTCAATGCTTTGGTAAACATATCTGCAAGCTGATCTTCAGATTTCACAAATGGAGTTGTAATATCCCCAGCTACTATCTTGTTCTGAATAAAGTGACAGTCAACTTCAATATGCTTGGTTCTCTCATGAAACACAGGATTGACAACGATATGGATAACTGCCTGGTTGTCATAGAACAACTGTAAAGGAAGTTGAACTGAAAACCCAATTTCTTGGAGGAAGTGTAGTAGCTAAGTCAACTCACTCGTCGTATGTTTCATTGCCCTATACTCAGCCTCAGCACTAGATTTTGCTATCACGGGTTATTTCTTACTTTTCTATGAGACAACATTACCTTCTAGGAAAGTACAATAACCAGTGGTTGATCTCCGATCAAAAGGAGAGCCAACCCAATCAGCATCTGAGAAACCTTCCACTCTAAGATGTCCATTAGCTCGATATAATAGTCCAAGTGCAGGAGCTCGTTTAAGATATCATAGAATACGAGTAACTACCTCCCAATGTGGTACTCTAGGACATCCCATGAATTGACTTACTATACTGACTGCATAGGAAATATCCGATCGAGTAATAGTGAGATAATTAAGCTTCCCAACCAATCTGCGATACCGACCTAGATTCTCAAACAATATACCATCATCCATTAATAATTTTTGATTCGGATCCATAGAGACATCAATTGGTCTACCACCTAGCAAACCTGCTTCCTCAAGCATGTCAAGTACATATTTTCTCTAAGATAAACAAATATCCTGTTTAGATCGAGCCACCTCAATACCCAAGAAATACCTAAATTTTTTCAAATCTTTAATATGAAATCGATCCTGTAAAAATAATTTTAACTAGGCAATCCCCTCAGAATCATTTTCAGTAATCACAATATCATCTACATAGACCACCAATAGGACATACCTAGCATCTGTTTGCCTATGAAACACAGAATGATCTGTTTGACATCGAAGAAGACCAAACTTTAAAACTGCATCTGAAAATTTACCAAATCATACCCTCAGTGACTGCTTTAAACCATACAAAGATTTTTTTAACTGACATACACTCTCACTCTTACCATACTCTCCCTGAGCAGTAAACCCAGGTGGCTGCTCCATGTAGACCTCTTCAACCAAATCACTATGTAAGAAGGCATTCTTGACATATAACTGAAATAAGGGCCAATCAAGATTAGCAGCCAAAGAAATCAAGATACGAACAGATGAAATTTTGGCAACAAGAGAAAAAGTCTCCTCATAATCAACACTATAAGTTTGAGTAAAGTCCTTTGCAACAAGCCAGACTTTGAGATGCTCCACAGAACCACCTGGATGAAATTTAACAGTATACACCCAACGATATCCAACAGTTCGTTTACCAGAGGGTAAAAGGACGAGATCCCAAGTCCCATTATGATGTAAAGCATCCATCTCCTCCTCTATAGCTTTCCTCCAACCTGGATCAGATAATGCATCCTATAAATGCTTAGGAATAGATATAGTAGATAATTGGGAAGTAAAACAGGAGAAGACAGGAGACAAGACATCATATGAAACAAAATAAGAAATGGGATGATTAGTAATACACGAACGAGTACCTTTGCAAAGAGCAATAGGTAAAGAATCTAAATTTTCTGATGTTCTTGGATCAGAAGGTAGCAAGAAAGACGGTACGGACATTTCAGTCAATGGGCGAGGACGGCGAGAGTAGACACGGAGAGGTAAAGTAAATGGTAACATAGTGGGCAGCGAAATATCTGATGGTGGTATAGGAGAGAAGTCAAAGTTCAGATCCAAAGACTGAGAAGGTGCTGGAAAGTATGGAACAGATTCTTCAAATGTGACATCCATACTAGTAAAGTATCGGTGCGGAGAAGGACTGTAGCAACGATACCCTTTTGCGTGCTGGAGTAACTAAGAAATATACATTTGGTAGCTTGAGGGTTAAGTTTGTCAAATTCAGAACCCAAATTGTGAACATAACAGACACAACCAAAAACTTTAGGAGTCAGGGAAAATAAGGGCTTACCAGGAAACAGAACAGAATATGGACTTTGTCCATTTAACACAGAGGAGGGCATACGATTAACAAGATGACAAGTAGTAAGAACATCACTCCAATGATATCAGGGAACATTCATCTAGAATAACAAGGCACGCGTGACTTCCAACAAATGGCAGTTCTTGCGTTCAGCAACACCATTTTGTGGAGAGGTGTAAGCACAAGAAGTCTGATGAATAATGTCAGTTTTACTAAGATAAGCTGAAAAAGGATCAGATTTATATTCCCGAGCATTATCGAAACGTAAAGTACGTATATGACAACCAAACTGAGTTTTTATTTCTTTACGAAAGGTCTCAAATATAGAGAATAATTCAGACCGAGCTTTCATAAAAAATAACTAAGTCACACGAGAATAGTCATTTACAAATGTCACAAAATAAGGATATTTATTAGATAAAATATTCTTTATTAGACCCCATACATCAGAATGGACTAATTCAAATGGACTAGACACACGATTATTGACTCTAGATTGAAATGACACACGGTGATGCTTACTAAGTTGACAAGCTTCACAAGACAAAGACGACACATAACTAAGACTGGGAATTTGGCGTTTCAGATAATGCCATTGAAAAGGAGACAACGAGGTCTGTAGTGCTCGGGTAGATGAATCAAAGTCAAGGTAATATAGGCCACCAGCTTCATGCCCCGTACCAATCTTCCTCTTCGTCTTGAGATCCTGAAAGACACAATAAGAGGGATAAAAAATTACAGAACAATTGAGAGAACGAGTAATTTTGCTAATAGAAAGTAAACTAAAAGGAAACTGATGAACAAATAACACAGAAGATAGGGACATATCAAGACTCAAGTGAGTAGTCCCCAGACTTGAAACTTTAGAATAAGTACCATTAGCAAGAGTAACACTACGTGTGGGAGTAGCAAACTGATAAGTAGAGAAAACGTAAGACGCACCAGTCATGTGATCAGAGGCGCCAGAATCTATGATCCAAGGATTGAGAGTGGAGGACAATAAACAGGTGGAAGTAGTACCTGACTGAATAAAAGTAGCAGTGGAGGGAGATGAAACAGCTTGTTGCTGGGACAGGAACTGAGCATACTCCTCTCGACCCAGTGTAATATTAACCGACCCAGTGTCTGGTGGAGCTGACTAAGGTATGGAAGCAACAACAGAGGTGCCATCCTGATAATAAGCCTGATTAGCAGTACCAGAAGGTTTTCCATGTAAATCCTAATAGAAATCAACAGTGTATCTTCCACGGCCACAGTGAGTATAGGAATGAGATCCACTACGACCTCCACGACCACCTGCACGACCACCCGTACGACCACCACGACCACCACGTCCACTGCGATGGCCATCATTATGGCTATTGGGAACTACAAGAGCTGAGTGATCAGTGGAGACACCATGATCAATGACTGAAGGAGTAGACAGTGTAGCACGCTATAAACGAGAGAAAACCTCCAGCAGTGATGGAAGACTGGATCCACCCAAAATCTGAGAACGAATAGCCTTATATTCAGGTTTCAATCCTACCAAAAATCGAACAACATTCAGGTCCTTATGTTGTTTTTGCCAAACTGCTGCATCAGTAGTAAATGGATGGTAAGTCTTCATCTCCTCACAGACTCCCCGAACATGAGAGTAATAATCCGCAAGGCTCATAATACCCTGCTCCAACCGGAAGTACTCCTTGCACATCTCATATGCACGGGTAAAATTACCTATACCAGAATACATAGTAGCCAAGTGATCCCATATCTCTTTGGTAGTATCAAGATAGAGCAGAGAAGAGCTAATACTGGGCTCTATGCTATTCAATAATAAAGAAATAATCTGAGGATCCTCTTGTTCTCACTGATCATACCTAGGAGTGTCTTCCTTGGGTTTAGAACCCACCAGATATTTCTTAAATCCTTTGCCTCGAAGAAAGACTTGAACAGATCAAGACCATAAAGTGTAATTAGTTCCATTAAGTTTGACAGAGGTCATAGGACCATTGATAAGAGTCGGAGGAGGCAAAGATGGAGTAAGAGACCCGGTATCTTGTTTGGGGTCCATAATAATGCATCAAACCGGAAAGGAAAGGAGGAAAGGAGTGCTGAACCGGCCTAGAACGGGAGGAAAGGAGGCTGAACCGGCCTGGTTTAGCCTAAAGGAGGCTGCTGGTAGGCTGAACCGGCCTGTTTCAGCCCAAAGGAGGCTGCTGGTAGGCTGAACCGGCCTGTTTTAGCCCAAAGAAGGTTGCTGGTGGCCTGAACCGGACCGGTTTAGCCCTCTGGACCACTGAACGGGAGTATAAAATAGAAGAAATTGGTCTGAGTCGGTGCAAAACTGCCTGAACTGACTTGGAATGGATCAAACCAGGGTGAACCGGCCTGGAACCGGTCTAGTCAGGGTTTGGACTGGATCCGATTTGGTTTGGACTATGAGCTGGACTAGGTCTAAAGTGGGCTGAACCGACCTGGAACTGACCCGACGACCTTGTCTTCTTCGTTTGATTAGGGTTTCTGTGAACCCTGGTCTTGACTACACCTCACCACCACTACGAACAACAGCCCACCACAACTGCCACACCACCACCACGACGTCGGCAACCTTAGTCTTCGACTGAGCCTCACCACCACGAGGAACGATAGACGATGCCGAACGACAGACCACCACAACAGTACTACCACCACAACAACAACACCACACCACCACCACGAGTAACAACACCACCACAACAGTACTACCAACACCACAATACTTCGACAAACAACGACAACCAACGTCGACCAACACAGGACCAACAACACCACCACCACCAGTCGATCTCTGGCAGTAATCACAGTGACAATAGTTACACAACGACAAACACTTGAGTTAATATTTGAATTTTAAAATTGTTCATTAGCTCTGATACCATGTTAAGTTTGGAAGATTAACATAATATTAGAGACACTATTTAGGGAGAAACAGAGAGAGGTTAAAAAACTTAATCTAGCTCTCATACATAACTTGTATTTATAGTTAACCTACAATAATAATAATAACACATACATCCTCTTACTATTAACAATTTACACATACTACCCTATTATTCTTAACACTTTCTCTTGCACTCGAACTCTTCAAGCTAGAGTATATAGGGTGGAGTTATGCTTTTCAATTCTACTTTTGTTGTTTTTGTTTTATTCAATGGAAGGGTCACAATCTTGATCCTCCAGGGTTCTTCGTAGATAGGTCTTCTGGTGTCTGGCTTGAATCTGTCCTCGATGTTTGCCTCTCCCTGCTTACCCATAGAATTAGTTGCCTTCTTCCTCCAAATTTGTACGTCAATCACAATTGTTTTGTCGTTATGGCTAGTGATTCAGAGAGAACTTTAGTTGAGGGTACTCCTCTGCTAGTGTCCAAGGTTGATAAGGCCAATGAGGACTCTGACTCAATCCTAAAGATCGCCTCCCCATCAATCAAGATTGTGGGCTGCATATTAATTTCAGAGTTCTATTGACAAAGGTGCTTTGAATGAGATTAGGGCGCATTACCAAATTCCTGACTCCGTTTGGCTTCGTTTTCTAGACAAAACTATTGATTCATTCGATTCCAATGACATCTTCTTCTATGAGTCAATTTTTTAGGTTGGGCTTCACTTTCCCATGCCTTAATTCATTAGGGAGGCATTCAACTCATGGTTCATGGTCGCAGTATTGGCTATCGACTCGGAGAATTCTAAAACATATTGGTCGTGGCATTGCATTGTAGTATCGGGTTGTACGATCTAAAAGAAAATGTTGAATATAGCGAGAAATTCAGATCATGCTGCGATATCATAGAATCATATCAGTTGATTCAATGACGACATTGTCATTGCCGACATATCGTGTAACGATATTGTCGCCAACTCGTATCGGTATCGACAGATACTTTAAACAATGATTTAATTATCCGAACCTTTCTCCTTCCCAAGTGACTCCGAATAGTTGGAGATTCTTGATTGGAATTAGCGTTCTTTGGGCTAGAGCCAACGACGTTAGTAATTGCCCCACCATTGTCGAGCTATTTCATTGCCACAAACTTATGAAGGACGGTTACGGATACGATGATACGACAAAATCTTAAAAAATAGGATACGGATACAACTATGATATGTCTATAACAAAATATATTGAATATTTTTACTATTATCTACCGACTTAATAAATATATATATTGGTAATTCTTTAACATGATATGTAAAATTAACAATTGTTTAGTTTATAAAAAGTATATGTCATATCATCATGGTGTATTGACGAAGTGAAACGACTAATTAAAGAAATCAAAACTAATATTTATTTAGCTGATTTGTTTTGAAGGATTTGTTGCCAAGATTATAATGTAATAAATTCATTTTATATTCTTTTGATGTATAATTTTAGATAATACTTAAAAAACACTTATGTATCTTCAAAGTACTATAAATTTTTATTGATGTATTGTATGACATGTGAATTAGAAAGGAAATGTTAGCAATTATGTTGTTCGCATACAAAAGTATTCGTAAAGTATCCAAAATTTTATTATTATCGAATATGTAAGGTATATTTGATATGTATCCTCAAGTATTAGACGAGTATCGTATTCGATATGAGTACGGTAACCTCAACGAAGTATCTGTGTTTCATAGCTATAAATTCACCCTGTGCTATGGGCAAAACCTAGGTTGGTTTTATTTTGTAAAGAGAGAGAAGAGTGACCTCTTGACAGGCTATTCCTCCAACGTCAAGGAATGGAAAGACAAGTTCTTTGTTTTTGGGTCAGTTTGGGAGTTTGGGTCTTCAGAGGTTCTCTCCAATAGGCCTCTTTTGGTCCCTTGTTTGTGGGGATCTCCTCCTCCTCTTTGTACGTGGTAGACTTTTGCTTGCTCCTTTGTTTTTTTACCTTTGGCTAATATGTTTTGCTTTATGCTGACAAACCAGGTCCTATGGAGATGCAAGAGCACGAGATGACCAAGAGCTCTCTGGGCGAGGTACTGCAGAAGCTTATCCTCCCAATGGTGTGGGCAATAGTTGTGTTCACCCTGGTAGGCCTTGGGCCAAAAATGGCCTTCACTTCATCATCATAAACAAATTGGCTAAGCCTAGCCATAGCCGCCTCCTCACTGTTCCACATGAAAGGCTTAAGTGGCTAGGAGACCTTTTCCTTTCCCTCTTTAGCGGTCTTAAAGACCTTGGCCTTCTCTTTCTCCTTTGAAGGCCCTGGCGGAGACTCAACCTCCAACAAAGAAACTTTTGGCACAGTTGTCTCTTTGCTGTAAACATTCACAAGGTCCACCACCTTGTCATTAGTACCCTTCGAGGTCGGGGGAACTGCTGGAGCATAGACAAGCTCGTGGACTTCCCCTTAGTTCGAGAAGGAGTGAGTCGCAGTTTCCTGTCCACCGGTGAATCATCTTCCGAAGCCCTTGTTGCATGGAGTTCTTTGAGGAGTTTCTTGTCTACTTTGGGAGCCATTCATTGGGACAAAGTAAAACAGAGGTCAGCCCCTGATTAGCACAAAAGCAAGAACTTCACAGGGAATAGAGCTCTACCGCTAGGAGGAGAAGGATTGGGAGTAAAAGGAACAATGACTATAGGAGTAGGACCCAGCTAGCATTCAAAGAGGGTCTGGTTAGTCATCAGTTCAGCAGATTTTTAGTAGGGTAAGCCAAAGCTTTCTTAACTTGCTGCTTGAGCTCACGGGGTAGAGTACTTGGTTTGCCTGCATAAAGAAAAACATATTAGCCAAAGTAGCATAACAAAGGAACAAGTAGAAGCCTACTACTTATGAAGAGAAGGAGGAGATCCTCACAAACAAGGGACCAAAAGGGGCCTACTGGAGAGGAACTCCGAAGGCCCAAACTCCTAACCAGGCCTAGAAATGAAGAACTTGCCTTTCCATTCCTTGATGTCGGAGGAATAGCCCTTTAAGAGGTTAGTCTTTACTCTATTTGAAAAATAAAACCACCCCAGGCTCTGGCCAGAGCACGGGGCGAGTTTGTAGCAATGAAACAGTTCGACAATGGTAGGGAAAGCACTGACGCTGTTGACTCTGGCCCGAAGAATGTTAATCCCAACCAAGAATCTCCAACTATTTGGAGTCAATTGGGAAGGGAAAAGGTTCAGGTAGTTGAGGGCCTTCTTAATGTACTGAGGCACGGGAAAGCGAAGCCTAGCTTGAAAGCTTACTTAATTGGGACCAAATGAATCGGCAGTTTCGTTTAAAGAAGGAAGTCGAACAGAGTCAAGAATTTGGTGATGTGCTTTGATGTCGTTCAAGGCACCCTTGTCAAGAGAACTCTGAAATTGTTGTGCAACCCACAATCTTGATTGATGAGGAGCTGGTCTTTAAGATAGAGTCAGAGTCTTCGTTGGTTTTGTCGGCTTCAGACACTAGCATAGGAGAGCCCTCAGATAAAGTTTGCTCGAACTATGATTGGTGTACAAATTTGGAGGAAGGCAACTAGTTCTATGGGTAAGTAGAGAGAAAAAAAAATGAGGACAGATTCAAGTCGGGCACGGGTAGACATATCGATGAAGAACCCTAGAGGATAAAGGTTGTGAACCTTCCACTTAATGAAACATAAATGGTAGAAGTGGAATTGAAAGACGTGACTCCACCCTATGTACTCTTTAGCTTGAAGAGTTCTAGTACAAGAGAAAGAGAAAACAAGATAAGAGTGAGCAAGAAGAGGCATACCAGAGTTCTTGAGCTTCTTGAAATGTGCTGAAAGGTGGTAACCAAGTAGCGTTTAAATATTAGCCCCCACAACGGATCTTTGGCAGTTACATTCGCACGCTTTGCGCTCCCTCCCTCGATTTCCTAGGCATTAATGGACAATGGTTCAAAGTCGCAATATTGGCCATCGATTCGGAGGGTTACTGATACATATCGGTCGCAGTGCCACAGTGCGGTATCAGTTGATATGCTCAAAATGCTAAATAAAAGTTCCGAAAAAATTTAAAAAAATTATGACAAATTCTAAAAAATATAAACATCATCATCTATGTATCATATGTCCACAAAACATCCAAAAACACATTAAACATAATTAAAATAAAACGTAAGGGTACCATTGGAAATAATTATCATTATTAGCGTTCAACTTATTAAAATTGAAATACTGATATATCTAATTATTACATTAGATTTAAAAAATATTAATTTTTTTTATTATTAAAAAATATTGATATTTTTTATTATTGAAAAACATTGATGTATGTAATCATTACATTAAATATTTTAATGATTTATCAAAGAGTATATTTACTCCAAGTAAACTCTGGCAAAAAGTGAATCCAAAAATCAATTACTCACAAATAAAATAAATTAATCACACTAAAACAAATTAAAGAAGTAAAAAGAAAATAAAAAAATAATTGGGGTTTGCATTTTTCACTCATTGGGACTGACAAACACAGTCTTAAAAGATCGGCTTGAGACTTTGCGTCTTTTAGACAATTTGTGTATCGAGAGAGAGAGAGAGAGGAGAAGAAGGATTTGAGAGTGTATTTGAATTTTGAGAACCCATTGATGGTCATTGGAAGACGGCCAGGGCTAGAGTTGTTGGGCTTCTACAATTCTACTTCTTCGTCTATCGCAATTGGTTTGTGGCGAAGAAGATTAGGAAAAAAAAAAAGAAAGAGAAGAAAAATAGAAGGTGAAGATGAAGTAGTATGAGATCTCTCTGATCTGTATTCGAGTCTATAGGTATGTCATATGAATGTTTACAATCTGTGACATGGGCCTTTGATTTTTTACTTTTTTTCCCATCCTTTCTTTTTCTCTTTGGCTTTTATGTCTGGGTTTTTGAGACTAGTTGCGGGCTTTTAGCCATTTACAGATGTGGGTCTTGAAGTTCTTCACCTTTTCCTTTTTGTTTTGGATTTTTGCTATTTGTTCAAGATTTTTAAGATTTTGCACAAGATTTGATCATATTAGACGATTCATAGGATACATCCGAATTTGATTGTGATATCGTCGATACTGTTGCTGCTCGCGATTTTTGTGTATTGTATATCGTTATTATCTCAGGAGTGATTGAGTCATATCGAACTCGACCGATACTTAGAAACATGCGGGCAAGCCACGCTGAGCTAAACTAGGGGTAACTAACGATAGGAATTTGAGCACGAGCTCGACACAAGGAGTTCAGTAGAGTCCTCTTCTTCCACGACTTGACTAATTCAGTTTAGCTAATACTTTCACCTGAACAAAGAGTCTACCTCCAATCCACCACGGGATGGGTTCACCCTAATCCCCAAACAAGGGATAAACATCCCCCAATACTCATCACTGTCTATAAAGAGGGAGGAAATGAGATTAGTCGGGTAAGTGATACTACTCTAATCTGCATCATAGGGTCGACCCTCGGAGTCCCTCTAGTCTTCGACTTGTTATTGTAGGAGCTCCCCTTGGTGTGCAATTCCAGTCAGCAACTCCCTAGTAGTCCGGTGGTTAATTTTTGTCATCTTAAATTTGCAAACTTCATGTGTGAAGTATCCTATTACTACTTTTTCTTGTGTTCACGAGTGTCAATCACTTAGGTTTATTGTGGAAACCATGTCAATGATGCTAATTTTACATAAAAGGAAAAATGGTTGGACATTTTGTGGTGTGCTCTTCTCCCTTCTAAAATCGCTGGGCATGATTCCTAAGAAGGTGTTGTGGCATGTAGAATACATGTTGGGAAGTGTCCTTAGAGATGTTCACCTAGTTTCTGAAATCATGTCATTTTTGCACCAGATTTGGACAGTTTCTAAAATATGAGGCAGTGCTGGTACTTGCACACTTCCATATACTGAACAGTTGTGCATTTAAGCATTCTTTAATTTTCTCGGTGATTTGTTGTCTTAAATGGTTGATATTTTTGTTTACTCAAACATTGAATTTTTTGGTTTTATGCTGGCCCATGGTTTTTAATGATTGACATCTAGTTTTGTTTTGTGAATAAATTTCAAGTCCTTAGCTTTGATTCATATTGCCACAGGTGTATGCAATCATGCCTTCCATTTCCACTGCATCAGTCGATGGCTCAAAACTCGTCAAGTGTGTCCACTGGGTATTGCATTATGCTAGTTTTATTGATATCTTAATTGCAATAATGCAGTGTTGCATGCTGATTTCTTTGAATTTATGTTGTCTTCTCCAGATAACAGTGAGTGGGAGTTTCAGAAGTATGGTCACTAGAGCCTGCAGTAGCTGATTAGGGGAGCAGGTTAAGGTCTTGCACATTTCCTTCTTTATATGAATTTTGAAGCAGGGAAATATAGTGTTTTTCTTAAGTTGCAGTGTAATTGTTGTTGTTAAATGTGAACGGGATTTGTAGGATGGTCAGACAGCATTAAAAAGGAAAAATGTGCAGTTTTTTAAAACTTGCTTTGGAGGACTAATGATATGCTGTTCAGAGATTCCATGCCCGTTGCTGAACCTTGTTATCAAAAGCTTCGTTACCAAATGCTTCTTTCATAGTTGTTTTACATTGCTATTGTCAGAGTTGCTGGATTATCAAGTTTTAACAGGTGTTTTGATGATCCAAATTTGAGATTACTTTCTTCCAAACAAGTTAAAGCTTGTTCAAAATGTATTCAACTTGATTTCACTTGGGTATGCGATCTTTTTGTTTCCCTTTGTATTTTTTTTTATCCGAAATTATAGGGACCATTAGCTAACGTGGAAGAAATCCCCATGTGTTTTCCTCCCATCATCAACCCTAATTTGGGTTTGTTGTCTCATCTTGAGTTCAATGATAGGTTTTTTTTTGGCTAATTAGTTTGATATAATTAGCCTGTTGCTGGTTTAGCACAGTAATATATTCAGTATACAGAATTCTTTTTCCAGCAGTTCAAAACCTTTTTTAAGGGAATCCTTATGACTCGAATACAATTTGGAACACAGAACAACTTGGAAACATGCTTTTGTGATGCAAAAAACCAAACAATTAAAAAATAACCAAGACCTAATTTGGTGAAAGGAATCTTCATTATTTGTACAACAGGTCGATTAACTTTCAGAAAAGAAGGAAAAGCTCACACTAGCTCACATCATCAGATATCAACAGCCAAACCACCAACCCCAACTGAATTCTCAATCATCTTCTTGCCATGCAAAATAAATTAATCAGCACAGGACCTTCTTACATGGTAACCATTGAATCCTCACGCCACTCCACAGCAATTGGGCTTCTAACAAGATGAACCCCATCAGTCCACTCAATGGACCCAAATGCGGACTTGGTTGCACCACCAACTCTCTCCAATTCAACACTACTGAATGTAATCTCATACGATAACGTCTGATTTTCCCTACTAAACGCCAGCTTGCTTGGCGATACACTAACCTCAACCGCCGGTGGAGGAGCACTCACTTGCACCTCATAAACAACATCAACCAAACTCCCAACGTTTTTAACCACCCTCTTATATTTGACCACACGATTGTTAGTATCAAACACTACAGAGAAGGATGGGTAATTCAGATTCCCAGGACTACCTAAACTCAGTGCACCACAATCCACCATAGCAGGATCTCCCACAAACACGGCTATTCTCTTGGAGTCATATCCAATGGCGCAAAGAAATGCTACGTAATCACCAACGCCCATATCATATACCAACCCCGGATCCAAAGCTTTGTTTGGTTCCACGTGTCCGGCGCCATGAACAAACGGCGTTGATCCTTCTCCAGTGGCAAGATCAGTAATAGACTTACCAGTGTTGTCTACGTTATAAGCCGTGGTCATTAATGCTGATTTGATAGCAGCTGGGGTCCACTTGGGGTTCGCCTTACGCAGCAATGCAGCCAATCCACTCACATGAGGACAGGACATGGACGTGCCTGAAATAATATTGAAATTCACTCTTCGCGTATCGATGTCCAGATCTGTAGGACCAGTATATCCGGTCCAACCGGCCAAAATATTCACACCAGGAGCTATAACATCCGGTTTAAGAATCTCCGCCGTCCGATAATTCGGTCCACGACTTGAAAACGCCGCGACACGTGGCGCCGATGGTGATGTTCCAACAACCGTGCCTTGGAAGGCAATCGTCGCGGTTGGTGATGAATCAGATCCGATGTAATCTCTGATTTTATCACCTGCGGTCTGACCTACCATACTCGCCGGAACGAGATGCGAATCGGCGATGAGTTCTTCGCCACTGTCAGCCAAGTTCGCAAGTATCATTCCCGCACCTCCTGCGAGTTTCACGACACTTCCTTTCGCTACTCTCCCATTGCCACCACGATCGCAGAGAACAATTTTTCCGGCAATTTTTGAAGAATTTAACTTCCCTGAGTAACAATATTTGCTTCCACAGTCCTCGGCATTGACCAATGGGAGTTTGGTTTCTCCTAGTGGATCTCCCGAATACAAGGACACTCCACCAAAGATCCTACCATCTCCGAGAATCACATCAGCTGGAAACTCTCGATCGATGGTCGAAGCACCGACGGTGAGAATCCAAGGAGCGATGTTGACGACAGTGTACGGATCGGGACCGGAATTTCCAGCGGAGCATGATACGAGAACGCCGTGTTCTGCGGCTCTGAAAGCTCCGATTGCTATGGAATCGTGATCATATTCCGGGGCATGGCCTGTGGCTCCAACAGACAGAGAGATCACGTGAACACCATCGGTAATCGCTTGGTCCATCGCAGCTAATATATCCGAATCGTAACAACCTGACCTCCAACAGATCTTGTAAGCTGCAATTCTAGCTTTAATCGCCATACCCCTAGCTTCACCTTTCGCATACTGATAGAAGCTCGCGTTAGCAACCACAGATCCAGCAGCTGTGGAAGCTGTGTGAGTTCCATGACCTTCTATATCTCTCGGAGATTTTATTTCCTCCATTGGCTTTCCAAGTCCAGCTTCATAGCCTCTGTGATAAGCTCTGGCACCGATGATTTTCCGATTACATGACGATTCAGGAAAGTCTGGGCCGGTCTCGCAAATACCTTTCCAAGTAGAGGGAACCGGAGAGATGCCGGTGTCGGCGAAACATGGGCGTTCCGGCCAGATTCCGGTGTCAAGGACACCGATGATAACGTCATCGGCGTAATTGGAGTTGGGCCACAAGCCGAAGGAGTCGGCAAGGCCGAGGAAGTGAGGAGTCCGAGTGGTGTGGATGAAACGGACACGGTCTGGGATGACGGAGAGGACGCCGGAGATGCGACGGAGCTCTGTTGCTTGGGCTGCGGTGAGGCTTGCAGAGAATCCGTGGATTGAACGGTGATAGGTGTAGAGGAGTTTGGAGGGGTGGTGAGAAGGAGGGAGTGATGCGATAATGGAGGAGAACCAGTGGTGATGGGTGGTGAATATAGTTGGCTTATCAGATCTTGATACGTGGACGATGAAAGTCTCTGGAGATTCAGATGCTATTGAAAGAGTTGCGGGGATGAGAAAGAAGGAGAAGATGACGAAGACAAATGAAGAGATCGGAGAAGCAACTGCCATCGGAGTGTTTTTTTCTTCTTTCCCTTCCTTGCTAGAATTTTTTGGAGGAAACAAATGGCCCGAAGACTGAATATTCTGAAGATAAAAAGCGCAACCTTATGGGACCACGTTTACGACTTTGATTGGTGGGCCCTTGTTAGTAATTTACAAGGACAAATTACATTGACACTCTTCTTAGTTTATTAGCCTTTCAACAGACACCCGAATTGAATTTAAAATAATGCTGCATCTTTCTTCTAAATTGGATTTACCAGAGAGTGACATTACATCACTGTTTACACCTAAAATAACAAAATTTGAGAATGATAGGTGAAAAAAATCTAATGATCATGAAAGAGTGTATGGGAGTTCATATTTGACATAGCATTTAAGGAAGTAAGTCTCTAAGAATCCCGAGAAGCAGGGAGACGTGACATTATGAACCATTAGTTAGAATCAATTTATCACAAGTTTACACATCCCGAGAAAAAGGCCATGATTACAGTCATGACCAAAGTGAAAAATGAATAGCTTGGATGGTTGAAAGTCATTCCTATGTATATTACTATAAAATATGAACTACAAGTGAAAAACTTTTGTTGGAGAAAAATAACCTTAGTAAAAGAATTACTCCCCTTATATCTCACCCTTTCGTATTCTCTTTTCAATTTTCATCTAATATTACTTTTAAATTAACTTCCTATAGATAAACTAAATACATAATATAAATTAATTAGCCATAATGCATCAAGACTCTTAGTCTCCCATAACAGATGATTTTCTTCCTCATCTAGAGTGTATCGCCTCTTAAAAAGGAAGAAAAAAAGCACACAATTCAAGTTTAGGAATGTATAGTGATGATACATAGAATAATTTTCAAATAATGACCTCAGGCGTGGAAGTCAGACAAGGAGGTCTGACAAGACACGCAGAACTCAGAGGACTAGAGCCAGGGCTCCCCCCAAACGAAACAATAACATAAATGATAAGGGAACAACTGGATGTTAACAGAAATTCTACAAGCGATGAAGAGTCATGTTCAAGATGCAAAACCTTCAACCAACCAAGATATTTTCCAAAAATCAAGGAGGAATCCACAGGTGAAAGGCAAGGATCTCGGTAGAAATCCCACAGATCGAGGAAAAGCTCTATAAATACTGTAATAATACTCTCAATAGGGGGAGGAGAGGTTTAACAACATAAGTGATTGATTGTAAATTTGATTCTCCATTATAGAAACGAAAGAAGCAAGAGTCTCCATTGAAGAGTGAATTAGCCGAGCTCCCAAGCTGGTTAACTACTATACTTTTATTGCGCACAACTCCCCTAATCCCTTAATAATCTTTACACAAATCTCACGAGCCTCGTAGCCCAGACCTAAGTTATCAAGCATAATTCATTCCCTCTGCTCATACATACTAATTTACACCATTAGTTTGGCGCTGTTTATGGAAACGACTGTTCCTGTTACAATATGCTGATCTTTTAGTAACTAATGGTCTTAACTCGCAACATGAGCAGAAGCCAAACAAATATACCACAAATGCAGGACTAACAGGAAGCTACCAACGGTAGACAACCCGAGAATACCCCAGAGACTAATCCTCCCATGGAGAATTCTCCAGCAAATAACGAATTGGAGGTCCTTCGTTTAGTTAATCAATGACTGCTACAACAGAATGAGGAGCTTCTGAATCTTTTGAAATGCCCTTAGGAGGCACGACCGCCCCAAGAAGGCTCGAATAATTCACCTCACAGAGAACAACAACACCTCGATCTCCTTAGAGAAGTCAACAAAAGGGGGAAAAACAACTAGACCTTGGGGTAGATTCCCCATTTACCTCCCAGGAATGGACAGAATGAAGAAGTGCAAAGTCATAACGATGGGGGTGAAAGGAATGATTTTTTCCCTTATTAGCAGGAGAGGAGAGAACAGTATTGGGAGCAGCGCTTCAAGGACATCCAGTAAGAGCTCAGACACATGAAGGAAGCTGTGAAGAGCAAGGCTCTAGTCACAATGGATGCCCTGGTGCAATAGACTGAGTCCCCATTCACTATTGGCGTGCTGTATTTTTCCCTCCCGCCAAAATTTAGAATGCCTCAGTTAGAGGTTTTCGATGGGACGAATGACCCCGTAGACCACCTCAATACCTACATGAACCAAATGGAGCTGCATGGATATCAGGACCCTGTGCGTTGCAAGGCCTTTGCCATCATGTTGAAGGGCTCAGCCCGAGCGTGGTTTAATAGGCTCCCCCCAGCCTCGACCTTATCCTTTCAGGAGCTTTCCATATCCTTCGTATCTCACTTCATTGGAGCTCAGACATATAGAAAGTCAAGCTACCACTTATTAAATGTGAAGCAAGGACCCAAGAGAACCTCAGGTCCTATGTCTAGAGGTTCAATTCAGAGTCACTGAGAGTGGATGTTTCAGATGAGAAGTTTGTCATTACTGCATTCATAGCTGGTTTAGGCGTGCAATCCAAAGACCTGATGTTTTCTATTTTGAAGAACCCCCAGGCAAGCATGACTGAGGTGCTGGTCAAGGAAGAGAAGTACATAAATGGCAAGGAAGCTCTTCTCTCTAAGGTCAGGAGCTCTTCTCCGCAAAAAGGTAAAGGGAAAGAAGAAAAAAAGAGAGATCGAAGTCTTATAAGAGAAAGATGACGAGATAGGTCTCTAAGAAGAGACAGAGATCGTTCCCCCAAAAGGAAGGGAGACATCAGAGATCACCTGGGCCCGTCACAGTCAGGGTTGCAGTCGAGGTATGAACCTTGGCAGCTCCCTCCCCTCATCGGAACGATATCACAGATCTTTGCATGAGGTGCAAAACAAGAAATTCCTAAGATGGCCACCCTGGATGAAAGCAGACCCAGCAAAAAAAAATCCCACGAAATAGTATGAGCACCATAGAGATCATGGTCACTACACTGATGATTGCATCCAGTTGAAGAAAGAGATTGAGTTTCTGATCCAATGAGGGCAGTTGCGCCGCTACGTAGTTCCAGATAATTAGAGCCAAGCTCTACCACCTCCACCACCTCAGCAACAGGCTCCTGTTCAGCACCAGCAACCCCTAGGAGAAATCATAATAATATCTGAAGGATTCATAGGAGGAGGATAATCTAGTTCAACCAGAAAGACTCACTTGCGAAGAATCAGAGCTAACGAAGTGTAGGAGGTGCATACTGTGTCCAAGGCACCACGACTGAGCACAAGAATTACCTTATTAGACTCAAACTTGGAAGGTTACCAACATCCCCACGATGACCTATTGGTGGTAAGGGTTGTTGTGGCTAACAGAACTGTTCATCGAGTTCTAATTGACAATAGGAGTTCTATAGATATCATTTTTGCCTCTGCATTTGACAAAATGAGCATAGGCAGGAAAAAATTGGAGCTAATAAGTGCTCACCTGTTGGGATTCGCAGGAGAGAGAGTATTACCCCTAGGCTCGATTATGCTCGTGCTCACTATGGGAGATCCTCCCTGCCAAGCTACCATCGTAGTAAGATTCCTCGTGGTTGATGCCCCTTCTGCATACAATATGCTGCTCAAAAGACCTTCCCTTAACGCAATGAAGGCAATCCCCTCTGCCTATCATCTGGTTATGAAGTTTCCTACAGAGAATGAAGTTAGAGTGGTCCGAGGAGACTAGCGTATAGCTAGGGAATGCAACATGACCTCGATGAAGTAGAAAGAAATTAAAAGTATCCAATTAGATGAGCTCGACATGAAGGACAAGCTGGACACTAGGCCAACGCCGTCGAAAGAATTAGAGCCTGTCCAGCTTGATGAGGAGCCAGAGCACCTTGTTTACGTCGGGTCTAAACTAAGCAGGAAAATAAAGGACCTTCTCATCCAGTTCTTGAAGGAGAATATGGAAGTCTTTGCCTGGAAGCAAGAAGACATGTAAGGTTTTAACCCCTCGGTTATCACACACAAATTAATTGTGAATCCCACTTACAAGCCTGTTAAGAAGAAACGAAGAAGTTTTGACCCAGAGTGCCAGAAGGCAATTAACGAGGAAGTCAGTAAACTCCTCCTCGCCAAAGCCATTAGGAAAGTAGACTATTTTACCTGGTTAGCCAATTTGGTTCTTGTCAAGAAGGCCAACGACAAGTGGTGACTCTATATTGACTTCACTGATCTCAACCGAGCATGTCCCAAGGACAACTTTCCCTTACCTCGAATCGACTTAATAGTTGATGCCACCGCTGGACACGAGCTCCTCAGCCTCATGGACGCTTTCTCTGGCTATAACCAGATCAAGATAGATCCAACCAACCAGGAGAAGATCTCATTTGTGACTAAGTAGGGAACATACTGCTATCAAGTCATGCCTTTTGTGCTGAAGAAAGTTGGAGCCACCTACCAACGCCTGGTGAATCGAATGTTTCAAAAATAAATTGGGATATCTATTGAGGTTTATATCGATGATATGTTGGTAAAATCGCTAAAGGCAAAGTTCCACATTGAACACCTAGCAGAATCGTTCCAGGTCCTTAAGGAATACAAAATGAAACTCAACCCTGTAAAATGTGCCTTTGGAGTGTCTATAGGGAAGTTTCTAGGCTTCATATTCAACAGTAGAGGAATTGAGGCTAACCTAGAAAAGGTTAAGGCAATCTTGGATATGCAGCCACCGCCTAACGTAAGGGAGATCCAACGCTTGACTAGGAGAATACCTGCCTTGAGTTGTGTTGTGTCCAGATCAAGCGATAAGTGTCAACCCTTCTTTCAAATCCTAAAAAAGGCGTTCCAATGGGATACCTGATATGAAGAAGTATTCAAAGCTTTGAAGGTTTACCTGAGCTCCCCTCCTGTTATGGTAAGCCCCTTGGAGGGAGAAGTACGCAATCTCTATCTAGTTGTATCAGATTTTTCAACAAGTGCAGCACTAGTGAAGGAGCGAGGTAGATCTCAGCAACTAGTCTACTACTATAGTAAAGCTCTGAGAGGAGCAAATGAGAGGTATCCAAAAATAAAAAAGCTTATTTTAGCATTGGTGACTACGACTAGGAGACTTATACCATATTTTCAGGCTCATACAATCGAGGT